GGTAGCCGAAAGAAAGAAAAGACACATTCTTGAACTTGCTCGTGCTCTTATATTCACCATGAGTGTCCCTACATATTTGTCGGGGGAAGTAGTTCTAACTGCCACCTACCTTATCAACCAAATGTCTTCCCGTGTACTTCAGTTTCACTCTCCACTATCGAGTCTTTTAAAAAACTATCCATCTCCAAGTTCTGTCTTTACTTCCACCAAAGTTGTTCGGATGTATTGTGTTTGTCCGTGTTCCATCACACCAACGATCCAAACTTGATCTTAAATCTCTCAAGTGTGTCTTCATTGGATACTCTCCCACTCAAAAGGGATATAAATGTTATTCCACATCTCTTCGTAAGGTCTTTGTCTCTATGGATGTAACCTTTTATGAGACTCAACATTTTTTTCCCTTTACTTCTATTCAAAGGGAGTCTATAGGAGCAGATGAAGATCAGTCATTGGAACCTACTGATGCCACAGTGTTACCTCTACTATTGGAGACAAGGGGAACTACGGTACCCTCAACATCAAAGACAGGGTGAGCCTCCTCAAAGTGGGGACAAGTTTATAGCATGTGAAAGCCTCCTTAAAGTGTGAATAACCCAAAGCCTCTACACTGCCAGGATTCTGAACCAAGTTCAAGTTCCATCACCCCGACACTTGAGTGCCATGACAAAATTGATCTACACTTGCCATTGCTCTTAGAAAAGGTACTCGGCCTTGTATTACTCATCCTATTTCTAATCATATTTCATATGTAAAGTTGTCCCAGGATTTTGTGCTTTCAACACTACGTTGGATAGTACAAAGATACCGAGAAATATACATGAGGCCCTCAAAGATCCAAAATGGAGGGATGTTGTCTTTGAAGAAATGAATGCACTTGAAAGATATCGAACTTGGGAGACAATGACCTTACCAACGGGAAAATAGATAGTAGGATGCAAATTGGTGTTTACAATAAAATTCAATGCAGATAATAGCATCAACAGATACAAGGCAAGATTGGTTGCGAAAGTTCACCCAGACTCACGGGATAGATTACCATGAGACTTTTGCCCCAGTTGCTAAGGTCAATATCATTCGAGTTCTCTTATCACTTGTTGCCAACCTAGATTGGCCTCTACAACAGCTAGATGAAAAAAATGCATTCCTAAATGGTGATTTACATGAAGAGGTCTATATGAATCTTCCACTGGCTTTGAAAAGGGAAATGGATCAGTGTGTAAACTAAAAAAATCTCTCTATGGGTTGAAACAGTCTCCTAGAGAATGGTTCGAACAAACTCACACAAGCTGTCAAAGGAAGAGGTTTCATTCAAGCACAGACCGATTATACTATCTTCCACAAACACTCTAAGGATGGCAAAATTGCTATTTTTATTGTTTACGTGGATGATATAGTTCTTACAGGTGACGACAGTCAGGAATTGAACTCCTTGAAGGAGTATCTAGCACTTAGTTCGAACTTAAGGACCTAAGAGCTCCTAAATATTTCCTTGGTATGGAAGTTGCTAGGAGCAAAACGAGCATCACTCTCACACAAAAGAAGTATGTTCTAGATCTTTTGCTGGAAATAGGAATGTTAGAATGTAAGCCTGCCGAGACACCTGTGGAACCTAATACCAAGTTAGGTATTGAAGACGGGAACGAGGTGAGCAAAGAGAAATATCAGAGATTGGTTAGAAAACTAATTTACTTATCCCGTACGCGACCTAACATTGCCTTTGCGGTGAATATGATTAGTCAATTCATGCACTCACCCAAGGAGAAACATCTAAGTGTAGTCTATAAAGTGCTTAGATACCTCAAGAACACTCCGGGCATAGGATTATTCTTTAGAAAAGGGTATAATAGGACAATTGAAATCTACACTGATGCAGATTGGGCAGGTTCATCAGTGGACAGGAGATCTACCTTAGGTTATTGCAACTATGTGGGGAGATCTTGTAACTTGGAGAAACAAAAAACAAAATCGCAAGAAGTAGTGCTGAAGCAGAATTTCGAGCTTTAGCTCATGCAGTCTGTGAGGGAATCTGGTTGAGAAGACTTCTTTAAGAATTGAAGATTTTATATTCCCTACCAGGCAGCTGTTAGCATCGCTCAAAATCCAATTCACCAAGATCGAACAAAACACGTGAAAGTTGATCGCCACTTCATCAAAGAAAAATTAGATGATAGAAATGTGTATGATATATATTCCTACCAAAGAGCAGATTATAGATATTCTCATTAAGGGCCTACATTGGCCAACCTTTGAAGACCTGATTGGCAAGTTGGGAATAATAAACATTTACCTCCCAACTTGGTATCATAATCTATTGCTTCCAGATGTTCCTCTTTATCCTCTAACTCCACATGTCTTTGGTTGTACTTGTTTTGTTCACGATCTCACTCCTGATAAGGATAAGTTAACATCCAAAGCCTTTCAGTGTATCTTTCTTGGTTATTCTCGTCTTCAAAAGGGTTATCGTTGTTATTCTCCCGACCTTAAGCGTTACTTAGTTTCCGCTGATGTCATTTTTCTTGATCAACAACCCTTTAATTCTATCCCATCTCAGATGTCACAGGTTGATCATGTACTTCCTGTCCCTTTTCTTGACTTGTCTTTGCCAGCTGCAGGTGCTTCTATTCCAGATGAGCAACCTATTGCTTCTATACCTGAGGACCGTCCACTTCTCACCTATCAGCGTCGCAAAACTGTACCTCCTGTCGACTCGACTCTTGCTGACTCATCGCCCACTGCTGTTGCTTCTTCCCCTCCGGATCCTTCATCAGAGACTCTTCCCATTGCTCAAAGAAAAGGTACACGTACTACTCGTAACCCTTATCCTCTTTATACCTTTTTGAGTTATGACCGTCTTTCTTCACCTCATTTCACCTTTGTTTCTAGTCTTTCTTCTATTTCTATTCCTAAGACCACAGGTGAAGCACTTTCCCATCCAGGGTGGCGCCAAGCAATGCTTGATGAGATGACTGCACTTCATTCCAATGGCACTTGGGACCTTGTTTCTGCTCCTCCAGAGAAGTCTATAGTTGGTTGTCGCTGGGTTTTTACTGTGAAAGTTGGACCTGATGGCCATATTGATCGTCTCAAGGCACGTTTAGTTGCCAAGGGTTTTACTCAAATCTTTGGCCTTGATTATAGCGATACATTTTCTCCGGTCGCTAAGATGGCGTCAGTCCGCCTCTTTCTTGCCCTTGCTGCTGTTCGTCACTGGCCACTCCTTCAACTTGACATCAAAAATGCCTTTCTTCATGGTGATTTACAAGAAGAAGTTTACATGGAGCAACCACCTGGTTTTGTTGCTCAGGGGGAGTCTGGAAAGGTGTGTCGTCTTCGGAAATCCTTATATGGTCTCAAGCAGTCTCCTCGAGCATGGTTCAGTCGTTTCAGTTCTGCTGTTCAGGCGTTTGGCTTAATCCGCAGTAAAGTTGACCATTCTGTGTTTTATAGGATTACATCTCCTGATAAGTGTATCTATTTGTTAGTCTATGTTGACGACATCATTCTCACCGGAAGTGATCAAGACGGAATTCGTCAGTTAAAACAGCATTTGTTTAGTACATTTCAAACAAAGGACCTTGGGAAGCTGCGTTACTTCTTGGGAATTGAGGTGGCGCAATCAAGACAGGGCATTTCTATCTGTCAAAGGAAATATGCCTTGGATATCCTAGAAGAAACTGGTATGTTGGGGAGTAAACCAGTTGATACACCTATGGATCCTAATGTCAAGTTATTACCCGGACAGGGGGAGCCGTTCTCTGATCCTGGACGTTATCGGAAGCTAATTGGGAAGCTCAATTATCTTACTGTGACTAGGCCAGATATTTCTTTCGCTGTCAGTACGGCCAGTCAGTTCCTTGATTCCCCTTGTGATTCACATTGGGATGCTGCTGTGAGGATCCTCCGATACATCAAAGGAGCACCAGGAAAAGGTTTGTTGTATTCGGATCAGGGAAATACAGAAATTTGTGGTTACTCAGATGCCGATTGGGCAGGATCACCCTCGGACAGACGCTCTACTTCTGGTTATTGTGTCTTCTTCGGAGGAAACTTAATCTCATGGAAAAGCAAGAAACAACCTGTTGTTTCCCGATCTAGTGCAGAAGCTGAGTATCGTGCAATGGCAAATACTACATGTGAGTTGATCTGGTTAAAGCAGTTGATTCAGGAGCTTCATCTTTGTGAACAGAAACAACCCATGACACTCATCTGTGATAATCAAGCTGCGCTACATATATCCTCTAATCCTGTTTTTCATGAGAGGACCAAACATATAGAGATTGATTGTCACTTCATTCGGGAAAAGATTCAGTCAGGAGAAATCAAGACAGCTTTTGTCAACTCGTCTAATCAATTAGCAGATGTTTTCACTAAAGCTCTTAGAGGTCCTCGGGTTGAATACATTTGACAAGCTTGGTGCTCATAATATATACGCACCAGCTTGAGAAGGAGTGTTAGAATATTAGATATGATATGATTAGATTTGATTAGATATGATTGGATTCTGTCTTATCCGTAAATAGTCTGACTGTATTCTGACTGTATTAGGATTAGGTTTGGATTAGGTTTGGGCCTTACACTTAAGCCCATTAGGGTCTCTATATATTGTAACTCCCTGACACAGATCAATACACAACGTATTCTTTTACATTTAACTAATAGGAATTTGAATTTTGAATTTTAGGACAGGACTGATAACTCATTGCTGAGTCATTCTAATCTATTTTTTCTCATTTACTCTTGTATAAATATCTCCTATCAATGTAAATCAATTGAATTAATTCAGAAAAAAATTCTCTGTTTTTACTTTTTCAATGGAAAGAAAAGACTAAACAGGGATAAGATATCCTCTTAAGAGTGATATCAATATATATATCACACCCATTCAAGCCTTTCAGTTTCACCAACTACTTCTCACATTTAACTTAATCAAATTTCAAAGACAAGATGCATTTTGAATGACTCTACAATTCCCCACAAACACTAGCAGTTTAAAAACATACCAATTGGAGGTTTCTTCTCCTTTGAAAATTTTTCTAGGGCAACCCAATCCTTGATTGTAGCCAAAGCGAAAACTTTAAGCCAATACCATCTCTTCTCAGACACCTGAAGTAATAGAACAAAAATTGTGTGCCTCAGGAACAGCTTTATACTGGAGAAAAGGTTGGGGGAAATAAAGTGTTCGATCTGTTTCCCATTTCTTTATTTCTTCTCAACATATTATTCATGCAAAAAGGCCCAAAACGAACCATTTTTCCCTTTCAAGAACCACTATTAAGGTACAAGATAAAATTTACCAACCTTAAATTCTGTTTTCACTTTCATTGCAGCTCGGTGATTTCCCAAGACAATACAAGTACGGATTGTATCACTTATACTTGAATCCACAAAAATGGCCTGCTTCGTAGTCACTTCAAGTTCATGCTGAATTCTGCAGTAGAAACAGTGTCATAGTTTTCCCCTTGATTACGACATGGATATTTATTCAACGATGATTTATTTAACAGCTGGTACCGAAGTCTGAATGCTACAGAAACATATGAATAATAGCTTCTTCAAAAAAATATGAACTTACCACATCAAACTACTACAAAAGCTTAACAAATGAAATAACTGAAAGATTTATTTTATAGTCTAGTGAAGTGACAAAAATTAATAATCACACCTTAACAATTTTGCATGCTCCTCAGCTGCCTTTGATTCAAAGGTATGTTCCTTGGTTTCTGCAAAAAGATTCTGGGCCTTCTCAATAAGTTTTAGTCGGGGACCATGAAGTGGAGATCCCTTGCTTGCCATGGGATTTTTCCCAAGTTCCCATGATTCTTTCCACAGAAGAAATGCCACATCCTAAATGGATTGGCATTGTTAGAATAAATCCCAGTATTTAAATGCAAAGCTTGTAACTGAGACTGAAAGGATATGATTTGCATGCATTACTTAAATCCAATACAACAGGCAAAACATGTATGATTAAAAACTTTCTGACAGTAAAGGAATTGGTAAATTATGGGAAAATTGCAAGGTAGAATCACTTGTAGACTAATGCCTTGTTGAGTCTTAAATTAAAAGGCATAATATGAGAAAAAGGAAAACAAAATTAAAAAATGTAGTGACATGCTCGGTAGTTAGCGGATAAGTGGACAGAAATGTCAATTCCACACAAAAAGTTTACATGAGATTGAATGTGCAAAAATTAGTACTTTGTGTAAAAATATCCCATTTAACGTAATACAACAGAAAATACTGGATGTGTCCTCTTATAAATAGATTATAAATTACAAATTATGCATATGATTATGATGAAAATTATTACAAAGAAATAAAACATACTTGAAGTTGCCCTGTTGATAAGAAGAAGTCCTTCAAAAATTCATGTTTATAGCACCTGAAATCGAGATATACTAATTAATGCCTGCATGACATGCATTCTCAACAAAACACATTGAATACTTCAAATCTCCAAATTTTAAATCCATTGCTTAGTTTCTTTCTTTTTCTCTTCATAAGTAGAGCTCCAATAGTGTGACACTTTATCATAGGAGATTTTTTCTGTTGGAGAAATTGTTGTTTGCATCACTTTAAGTAAAGTTAACAAATTGGAAGGATGTAGGTTAGGGTCCTTTTTAATTATTTAAGCAAGTTATGTTTTGGACACAGCTCCGGATTAAGGATATTTCATTTGCATTCAAGTTGTGTCTCTTGGCTGTCACGTACATGCTATTTTTCAATTAATCAGGAAAAGTTAAGAAAATAAAGTAAAAAAACAAGAAATATCTTAAATTTTTAAAATCAGATGATTGATTAGAACACGTCCTTCTTACCTTAATTTCAAATTGTAAGTCCATGCACATGTAGCATTGCTCATGGCTAGAGGAGAATATGGGCACAAAATCTAAAGACCTCATAAATGTGATTAATATTTGCATGCAATTTTGCATACTATAATTTTTTAGTACATTTTTTTATTTTTCATTTTTTTAACCAAAAACTCTATGAAGCATTTTCATTATAGGCTTTTCTAAAAACAAAAAGAGGTAATCTAAGCATGAAATAAGCACCAAAATGCACTAATTTAATATCAGTGGGACGTCAATTTCAGTTTTCCCATTGACATGAAAATAGGCACATTTTGGAACTTTAATTACAAAAAAATATGTGGTTTGAAAAAAATGAATGGTACCAACAAACTCTGGACACACTCTTTTTAACACTTCACTCAATATTAAAGTCAAGTCATACACTTTCTCTAAAAGTGTTTGTTATTGAAGACAGTGGGTGATATTATATCACTAAAAGATTGAACTCATGTATAGAACCAGAGGAGGTAGATGATCAGAATTATCACTGTGCAATTATAAATATTAAAATTAAAGAACTGACTTACTTGAAATCAGATGATGATGCAAGCAGAATGATAGAACAGATAGAATGATATGTCAGAAGTAGAGGAATTAAATCCGAGCCCACAGAACGTGTCTCCTTGAGACAATTTGCCCCCTCACCGATGCCTAAGGTTGATGGACACTTGTCTCCCAGGATAGAACGGATTACGTCTGAAGAATGGTGGCACTACCAATCAACAGCCCAAACAAACACAACAATTGCCAGAGGAAATCACACCGGAGGATGAACAACAGCATGCAAAATCGGAAGGAGAAAAATTCCGGCAGAGTTTAAGTGCAGAAAACTGGATTCATTTTATGAAGGTGTCAGTGTCTATTTATAGACACTGACCGGTCACGTTTCAAAATGCACCTATTCGACGACGAAACAACACATCCGTTGGAAACGAAAAGACACATTCGTTCAACACGAAAAGGCACCCATTCAAGGATGAAACAACATGTCCGTTAGGATGAAACAACATGTCCGTTAGGATGAAACAACATATCCATTAGGATGAAACAACACAGCTGTTCAGATGAAACAACAGATCCGTTCAGATGAAACAACACATCCTTTAAGATGAAAAGATACATCTGTTTGTCGACGAAAAGACACACCCTTTCACTACCAAACTTCTTATTCATAACCAATAGATTGTCTACACAATTTATATATATATATATATATAAATTCCAACAATCCCCCACATGGATAAGAAGTCAAATCATCGTGACAAAAATGCATAAGAATATAAATGCAAAGTGTAATTTCCTCAACGAGAAACAACTGCATCGAGATAGGTGGAGTTACCTTTGAACCTTCTCTAGTGGAAACCTATCGGATATACTCGGTCAATCGGTGGTCTAGGTCGACTTGAACCGTCAACCTTTAGTGTATACCTAGACAATAGGAGTCACACAATTGCTTCTCTAGCATTGTTGGTCCTTTGTTGCGCTCATTTTGGCCGTGGGATACCTGCCTGGTTCTGCGAGTGTTTTAGAGAATCGGCCTTTGAAAAATTCTCATAGAAGCGACCCTCACTTCACACTCACATAGGTGATTTCTTGTGATGTAACTCACTATACATCATCTGAACACAACAGATTAAGAAATCATTAAAAGCCTTAATGCTTACCCTCATAAATACACTGTCTTGTCTTAGGAATGAGTATGAGTTTAAAAACTCTACAGTGTTTGAACAGTCGACCATCACTTAGTTGTCTCTTTGAACCTAGTTCATGGGATCTCCACTCTTCTAGGTAGAGTTACCGCAATGCTCAACAATTGATAGGCCTTAAACCCATTCCTTTCGACAAATTTTCAACCAACTCTCTAGGAATCCCTTTGGTTAACGGATCCGCTATGTTTTCCTTAGACTTAACATAGTCAATTGAAATGATTCCATTCGAGAGTAGTGTTGTCTTACGGTATCATGTCTACGACGTATGTGTCTAGACTTACCGTTATACATGACGTTCTTGGCCCTTCCAATAGCTGCTTGGCTATCACAATGTATGCATACGGCTGGGACCGGTCTTGGCCAATTAGGAACATCCTCAATAAAATTACGAAGTCATTCGGCTTCTTCACCGGCTTTATCTAAAGCAATAAATTCTGCTTCCATGGTTAACCTTGCAATGCAGGTCTGCTTGGACGATTTCCAAGACACAGCACCTCCACCAAGGGTGAACACATATCCACTTGTGGATCTAGTGTCGTTAGAGCCGGTGATCCAATTTGCATCACAATACCCTTCTATAACTGCGGGGTATTTCTCGTAATGCAAAGAAAAATTTTGAGTATACTTCAGGTATCCCAAAACTCTTACCATAGCTTTCCAATGATTTTCATTTGGATTACTAGTACAGCGACTTAAAAGACTTACTGCATAAGCAATATCAGGTCTGGTGCAGTTCATAACATACATCAGGCTTCCCAACACTTGAGCATATAGCTTTTGTGTTGTAGCTTTACCAGTGTTCTTTAGTAAACTAAGATTACAATCGACAGGGTTCCTCACAGGAGTTATATTCAAACTTTTGAATTTCTCAAGAACCTTAGCTATATAGTGAGCCTGTGATAAGGCCAACCCTGCAGATGTTCTATGGATTTTAATACCTAGGATAACGTCTGCTATCCCCATATCTTTCATATCAAACTTACTATTAAGTAACTGTTTAGTAACTTTAATCATTTGATTATTACTACCCATGATCAACATGTCGTCTACATAAAGACAGACAATGTTTTTCAGTATTTCGAACATAGACACATTTGTCACACTCATTGATTCGAAATCCATTTGATAACATAACATTGTCAAATTTCGCATGCCATTGCTTTGGAGCTTGCTTTAACCCGTAAAGGGATTTTATTAAGCGACAAACTTTCCATTCTTGTCCTGGAACAACAAAACCTTCAGGTTGTTCTAAATATATAACTTCTTCCAGGTCGCCGTTTAAGAAGGCGGTCTTAACATCCATTTGATGTATTTGTAATCCATTCAGTGCAGCTATTGCGATCAACATCCTAATGGATGTGATCCTTGTAACCGGTGAATAAGTATCGAAATAATCGAGACCTTCACGTTGCCTGTAGCCTTTTACCACAAGCCTTGCTTTATATTTATCAATAGTGCCATTCTCTTTCATTTTTCTTTTGAAAACCCACTTACTTCCTAAAGGCTTATTGCCAGGAGGAAGGTTTACCAATTCCCAAGTGTGGTTGGACAAGATAGACTCTATCTCACTATTGATAGCCTCTTCCCAGAATGGTCCTTCCAGGGACGTTATAGCTTCCTTATACATCCGAGGCTCATTTTCTAATAAATATGTCATAAAATCAGGTCCAAAGGATGTAGCGGTCCTTTGCCTCTTGCTACGTCTAGGTTCATCTTCTACATCCTCTACAGGATCAGTATCAGTTGTAGCATCCCGAGGTATCACAACCTGATCATCATTACTACCACTTGATTCATGTATTTTCTTATACGGAAATACATCTTCAAAGAAAGTAACTTCCCTTGATTCAATAACCGTATTAACATGTATATCTGAAACGTCAGATTTATACACAAGAAACCGATAAGCACTACTATTAGGTGCATAACCGATGAATACACAATCCACGGTTTTAGGTCCGATTTTCAACCTTTTAGGTTTAGGAACCGCAACCTTAGCCAAGCACCCCCACACTCTAAAGTATTTCAGGGATGGCTTCTTTCCTTTCCATATGTCGTATGGTATGCTCTTTGTCAAACACCCCCACACTTCAAGATAATTCAAGGTAGACTCCCTACCTTTCCATATTTCATAGGGGATGTTCTGAATTTTCTTGTGGGATACTTTACTTATTATATATAATTTGTCATTAAATGACTTTTTCCCACAAACCAGACATCAACAAGATCATTTCATGTAATGTTTGGTTCTTTCTATCAGCAATCCTATTGGATTATGGAGCATAAGGAGCCATCATTTGGTTTATAATACCAAACTCTAAACAAAATTTCTCGAAGGAGCCATCATACTCTCTCCATCGATTGCTCCTTATAACTTTAATTTTCTTATTTGGCTACAACACATATACCAAATAATAAACTTTATTTTAACCATAAAATAATACACAATTGTCATGTCATTGACAACATTTAAAGTCATCACATTGACTTTGATCATGCCATCACTAAGATAGCTCTTTTGAGTTCACATAGTATCAAATATTTCACTAGATATAAGATTTTTATATCCATCAAAGCACATAGTGCATTGTTTAAGCAAGAATTATCACTTGCCTAAATCATAAAGTCAAACTTTCACATTTATAAGTCACGAGTTAATGGATATCAAACACCATCATATACCATCAAGTCCATTAAGTGTACCATATACAATTGAATGCCAATAAATGCATGACATTTCCCACATAATAATTAATATAACAAAATATTCATGTCATAAATATTTCGCATTTATCATACTATATACCATTAAATGGCATCAAATTTCACTGCATT